TGGGCAAGGGCTTGAAAGCTGGAGCTGCACAGGAGGGTCACCTGGTCTTTTGTCTTCAGGTGGTCAGATGCCCAGGGAGAGATCTTCTAGCCTTTTGTCTAGGTGGCCTAAACCCAGCTGCCAGCATTCTGGGAAAAAGTGGAAGCAGAGAGCTGGATTTCTTAGCATTCACTATGTATATGTTCACTCATCTCCTCCCATTTTCAAGTACCTCTGCAGGTGTTCTGCCTTGGTCCCCCAGTTCACACCCCTCGTCATACCCTCTCTGGAGAGGAAGTCTCCAGGATGCTGCTGGGGCCGTCACGGTGCTGTGTGGAGTCAGGAGAGAAAACTGGGACTTTGCTTCTGAAAGAGACTTTAGGCTGATCCTGGTGTATTTCCACCCATGTTCATTCCTGTCTCCTGAGGCACTTGGTTTCCCCAGTTCCAGAGCCGTGTAGGGCCCTACCGAGGAAGTCACATTGCTGCCTGGTTTCCACATGGTCAGCTTGGGGCTCGCTTTCTCTGGCCTGCCTCCGGCACTTGTGTTCCCTGGTCTCCCTCTATTCTCTTTGTTTTTTTTGTGGGGCTATACCTTGATGAATATGTATGTACTGCAGTTTCAGTGGGCTTTCAGGATGGAGGCAGAATACGTCTCTTTGATAGGAGGTTTTTACCTGCCATTTTTGTTGTGGAGCCAATTTTATGTTCACAATGTAATGAATAAACTCTGCTGCCCACACTTGCCCCCCCACCCCGCCCTCTTCCTACTGTCCTTCTGCTGAGAATGAGTTCATGTTCTTCCTTCCTCCAGCCTGCTCATTGTAAACCTTTCCTGAATCTTTCCAAGCAAAATTAATCTTGCCTTCCTCTGAACTCAATGCATTTTTATGTCTCTTTTTCTTATGACACATGGTCTACCTCTTTTTAACTTGTTTATGTCTTACCTGATAAGTTTTAATTTCTGACAGCAACGATTGTTGCTTTGCCCTGATCCAGTGCTTTGCAAATAGTAAATAATTAATTTTTAAGTCAACATAATTTTTCCGTTATCTTTTCATGGTCTTATATGTACATATATATATTCTCATTTGACAACATGACAGGATACAGACCATCACCATTTGCACAGTTATTGCAAGAGTAGGGTATTGCTGTTGCTAATTGCAGATACTTTTCTTGAGACTTGTATGGGTGAGAAACAGGCAGCAGGTGTGTATTCCACCAGGTCATAACTCACAGAAGCTCATGGCTCTTTGGCACAATGTGATGATGCTCTCTCTACAGGGCTAGAGAGATTTCTTTATGGAGCCTGTGTTTCATTAGAACTTTCCTGGTACTGTTTTCTCTTACTGTGTCCTGGAATACAGTGGGCACCAGCATCCATTGCAATGGGCATTTTATCAAATTATGCCTGTGCTTTCATTCTCAGCCTGTCTTAGAAATGTTCCCTCCACTTCTTTCCTTCCAGACTTAGGCCAGGTCTCTGCCCCTGTTCTCGGTCTGGGTGAGAAGCAGTGATTCTTCGTGTGGTTTTGTCCCCAGATTTCTTCTCTGTGGTTGGCCCCACAGAGCCTTGCCTGGGGAGCCTTGCCTGGCCAGGGCATTTGCTCATCCACTTGATAGATGAACTTCATTCCTCGTTTCTTGCTCATGTGTAATGGATCTTTGGTTGTCATGGTACTATTGTTGTTAGTGTTTAAATCTTTGGTTATTTTTAAAATACACACCCTGAGTGAGACAGATTCTTATTTTTTTTTAATTGAGTGTTGTGTCACGTTTGCTTTTTAACCTAATGACAGGTATACTTATTGTAGAATTAGTGTTTATGGGTATTTTTAAGTGTCTTATCATAACTCTTTGTTCAATTACATTTCTAAGTTTCTGTAGCTGGGACAACAATGATTTCTGCTATTAATATTTCAAACTTTTTAGTGTAAACTACCAAAGTAGAGTCAACAAATATGCTCTTTTTAAGAAAAATTTTCCCTATGGGTTCTTCACTATTCTGTTGAAAATACAGCAAATCCTCTGTTTATTGATAGAGGATTGTGTTGATGAAAGCCAGTTAAAATCTCCTGAGAGACTACTGTTGCAGGGAATTGTATTTCTCAGTGGCAAACATATCCTTCCTGTATTTTATACTCTTGTGGGAAGAGGTCGTTTTTATGTGCCCTGCTTAGATCTGATTTTTTTTTTTTTTGTATAGTATGCTCTGTTGGGATTAGTGCTGATTTCCTACTCAGTGTTTTCTCTCCAGATAGTTTCTATTCACGTATTATGGAGTGGCATTTAATAAATGCTGGCCTGATAAGTGTTTTGACATGGTGTTGTCATGGCTGCTTGGCATAGCTGACCATTGAATCAGGACCCTTCTGGAGGCAGGAGACAAAGCTGGATCTCAAAATTAGACAAGCTTTGATCAGATAGTTGAAAGATTATAAGCCAGGTTTATAGAGTATTTGAAGGGGGAGGGAATAATTAGTGGTATGACATTCTGCTGATAGACCAAGAACAATGAGTCTCAAGAATGGACCATTGCATTAAGCAACATGGAGGCAGTTGGTAACCTTGATGGATATTTTTGGGAGTGTGGTGGGGAGGAAGCTTCACTGGAACAGGATTATGAGAGAAGAAGAATCTTAGACATCAAATCTTAAAAAACTTACACTGTAAAGAGAATCAGAGAATTGGTAGAGTGACTGGAGGGTAAAGTAGGGTCAGTAGAAGGTTTTGTACTATTATTTTAGTTTGTATAAGATATATTAACAGCTTTTAAAGGCTCAGCGTTTACACTAAGGACTATTTTCCATACTGCTATGGTTTTCAGAAACATTAATGGTGAGGCTAGAGATAGACTTCTAACCTGTCTTGGGGGCTTTCTGGTCAGGAAAGGCTCTAGGAGAAGATGATGACTGGGGTGTTGTGATGGGTCAGAAGGGTTAGCCTGAACAATAAGGTGGGGCTCCGAGGAGTGGAGGCCTCCATGGGGGGCAGGGAGACAGTGATGCAGGACTTAATACAGGCTGTGAAAGGGGAACTAACTGATGGAGAAAGGCTGGACCACAGCAAGTTCTAAAATACAAAAGTTAAGAGGTTGAGAAATTGCTAGGAGGGAACTTATTTCGAAGGAGTAGCTAAAAATATTCTGGAAAGGCTGTAGATTATGACCTTATATGGAGCGAGTGTGGAGGATTGGGAAGCTTAAAGAGCAGGTTTTATAAGTCACATTTTGGAGGTCAGTCTGCTTCTTTGTGTATGAAAGTTTTTTAGAAATGAATGTTGATATTTAAATTGATTAGGTCATCCTACAGCTTCCTTGGGAAGAGGAAGGCAGGATGGCCCTGTTCTAAGTGGCTATGGAATGATGGTTAAGGTATAGCTTTCTTTATTCACCTGCAGGATATTGATTATTCCTAGTTTCCCTTGGAGGGTTAATGCCATTTGGTAAGGAAGAGTAAGGATATAGTTCGTTTTGGGACTTTTTTCTTTGATGGCTCAACAAATGTAGAAATGACACATTTTGGAGCACTACTGGATTCATAGCAACAGGTGTCCTTAAGGACTCTCTGGAGGACATTGTAGTCAGGGAATCATGCAGAGTAAGGCTCAAGAATGAAGCTGGATGCCACAGTGTGTGTGTGTGTGTGTGTGTGTGTGTGTGTGTGTGTGTGTGTGTGTGTTAGCGAGAGAGGGGGGGGGAGGGAGAGATGTGTGCTGTGTGTTTTACAAATTTAGTCTCTCTGTGTTCTAGATGAACAACCAATTTGAGTACTGACTCCTTTGAAAGAAATCCAGACAAATGAGGGTGCAGAGTAACTATAGGCTATTTGCACTAGTAGTTTTTATGGTAATGTTTAATAACTGAGAATTGGGGTCTGAGCTGCTTTTCTGTGTTGGTGAAAAAGTGACAAGGATTGACAATTCCATATTTTTTAGAAGTGTTTGTTTTAGTGATCCTTAGGTGTTAGACATTCTCTTGGAGGGCTTCCTATGAATATGAATTCCTTGGCCTCAAGGTGTGAGTCAGTTGATGTAGGCTGTGGTTCAGGAACCCTGGGGAGGGGCAGAGAGAGAGAGGGAGACAGAATCTGAAACAGGCTCCAGGCTCTATTCTGTCAGCATAGAGCCCAATGTGGGACTTGAACCCACAAACAGTGAGATCATGACATGAGCTGAAGTCTGGTGCTTAACCAACTGAGCCACCCAGGTGCCCCTCAAGTATTATTTTAAAGTATGGTTTTATATTATCATGTGTATGGATATGTATGTGTGTGTGTTTGCATATGTGTGTGTTTATATGTGTGTGTATACATATTCAGGTGTGCACACCCAATGAAGAAGTGTGCAGAATTTAAAATGGAGTCCTCTATCTTCCTTTTCTCCCAATCCCACTCCCTAGATATAACCACTGAACATTTTGGTGTGTATTTTTGGGGATATTTTTATATGTATGTATACAGTTGTATCTAGCTTTGTTTTTACAAAAATAGACTCCAGTCACACACATTGTTCTGAGCTTGCTTTGCTCACTAATGGCATTGTCAGCATTATTCTGTATTAATATATTTACACCTGTTTGTAGGGCTTACTTTGAGCAACCTCCTTTTTTTCCCCCAGATAGGCTGTGACATGAGTTTTTCAGACATGTGATAGATGTTGCTTGCTTATTAGAATATCTGTGTGGATTGGATTGAGAGGATTAAAAATTATTTTGTGGTGGACAATGGGAAACCGAGTATACGTTAAGAAACCAATATTTTTTATGCAATGACTTGTGCTAGTTTCTGTAGTTCCTGTTATAACAATGTCTCAGCAGCTCAGCCAAAGGAAAGAGTCTGCTTAAGTCCATCATAAAAGAGAAATTGACAACAGCAGAGACAGGAGACTACCTGAATTTTCAATCAATTGCAATATTGTTGATTCCCTTTTATGGGCAAGAAATTATCACAGTTTAGCTTGTTGCATTTCCTTTGGTGATGCTAACTTGCTGTATTTGGTGTTTCTGTTCTTCTCTACAGGATCCAAACTACTGGATACAGGTGCACAGGCTTGAACATGGAGATGGAGGAATACTAGACCTTGATGACACCCTCTGTGATGTAGCAGATGATAAAGACAGAGTGAGTTCACGTCCAGGGAAGGCACTCTGGATGCATTTAGTGAAGATTGGAGAGGGAGTGGGTAGATGGGAGTACTTCCTTTCCTGTTGAGACACATACTTTAAAGAACCTTAGGGCCACTCATGATGTATTGTGAGACTTCGTTACCCTGAACTCTAGGGTGTAATGCTTTTCTTGACCCCTGGACATTATCAGGTTTACTATGTCTTGGAATTTTAAAATTGTAGCTTTTTAAATAGAAGTATCTTTAAGAAGTTCCTGTGCCAGTTTTTTCCTTTTGTTTTAACCAAACCTGACATCTTTCTTGACGACGGAGGTCCATTTCAGGGTGTGATAATGCAAGGTCTCTGAGTTCTATCCGAGCGCTGGCCTATCCCAAAAAGCTGGCCTGTGCAGCACACTGGCTGCAGAGGGGGCAGGTGCATCCCAGGCCTCCTCCCGGTTTGTGCTCTGCTTTCAGAAAGCCATACTTTCCTCAGTGTTGCTCTTGGTGGGCTTTCACACCGCAATGCCATCCTCAGTGTAGTATGTGACTTTGGCATTGTGAACGTGGCACTTTAGTGTCCTCCTTGCACCCACCCTTTTGTCTGTGCTCTTTGAGGGAATGAGGAGGAGGAGGAGGAGGAGGAAAAGAAGTAACATTCAGTATTTTAAGAATTTGTGACAGGGTATTTGGCTCTGCACGTAGAAGTCACGAGGTGACAGGGCTTGAGCAGCCTTTGGCCACACTTTAGGGAAGGGCTGCCAGCTGCACATTGAATGTATCATCATGGGGTTGGAAGCTGGCAAAGTTATCTAGTACTTTCTCTGGTTTTTCCTGGACAGATTTCTCTCCCTTCTTCCCTCTGCCTGCCTTCTTCCTCCCCTTCTTTTTCCTCCTTCCTCTCTTACCCTCCCTTTCTCTCCCTTCCTCCTCCTCCTCCTTCTTCTTCTTCTCTCTCTCTCTCTCCCCCCTCCTTCTTCCTCCCC